AATATGCATAAATATAAATTTTTTCAAAATTGTACTGGTTTCTATAACATAATAGTACATTTTTGGATACAAAAACTTATAATTCAAGAAGTAACTAAAGTAAATTACTTGAAATTTTAACTTACAGAATACCCACTGTATTTGAAGCTCGGCAGAATGAATTCATAGAGACATGGCCCTGGCTTTGTTTACTCTATAAAGACATTTTCCGGCTCTAGACTCTCCGTATCTGCCCCGCCCCACCCCCTTTACCCTTCCCGAACCCCCACTGCATCTCTTTCTGAAAATATCAAGCGAATTGCAATAAGTGGCGGCGATAAATAAAGTGCCCGTCCCCATTTTTATTTTATAGCTAAATCGTGAGACAATAAAATGCTAAAGCAATGAATGCGATGGGAAGTGAAATTAATAAGCACTCGAGTGCAAAGTACTGTTCGCCACTATTATAGGCCGAATGCTGGGGATTGGCATGGAAGTAGGGGGAAAACGCTTATCGCTAATGGGAGCAACAACAGCAGCGCACTGATAACAGGCCGATACCGAAATACAGACGACTTCGACGTGTGCGTGCCTGTAGATTATTATTATTATTGATTAATAAACAATTTTCTCACTCACACAGAAAATAACTAATAGCTGAAAGCCAGAGGCTGTAGGTATGTACGGTGTATACATATGTATGTACTAGTGTGTCGGCCAAAGGCGACGCGACCGATAAGGAGTGACCGATTTAGTTCTATAGTTCATAAAGCGATAGCTAACATCAGACTCGATTGACCCACAAAGATGGGGGGACAAACATGAAAGGCATATTTATGTTCACACTTATTTTTGTACTAGGTTCTAAGAAAGAACGCCGAGATCAGTGATAAAAGCGAAAAGGAATGACTTGCCAAATTACGTAAGACGCCAGATGAAAAAATTGTTCGGTTTTTTAAATTCTAATAAATATGTCTTGTGGGCATAAAAATCATATTTGTTACAGCTACTATAAGCATCTTTTTTAAGATAAAAACAGTATCTTTAATGGGATTTACTAAGTAGGATTTTAAATGTAATTACAATTTTGAGTAAATGGATTACATTATTAATTGTAAGTAAAATTGGTTACGCCTTTTTTACTCGCGTTTAATTCTGGAATTCTTCCTATTCCATATTAAACTACATAAATTCTGAAAACTAAAATGTGAGCTTTAAATCGAACGTTCTCAGTACGCCGAATCCGACCAATATGTCATTTGCATACACCAAAAAATTAGATCAAATACAATTTGATAAATTAATAAAATCCCAAATCTATTTTTAATACAAGAAAATAAATTTTCATTAATTAGGAGTGAGACAGAGGTATTGTCAAACGAAATGTGAGGTTTGCATTAATTAATGTAAGCTTGATATTTGTAGTATCCACTTTTGTCTGTGTAATGACTTAATAATGAAAACACAGCAAATCATCCACAGAAGGATTTATCCTTTATTTCACAGTAAATCATACCATTTATTTAAAACAAAAATATTTGTTGACGTATTTTTCAGAAAAATGTCCCTGGTAAAAAATGATTTATTGAATTCCGGATTCGCAAAGAACCTTCGGAAAAATTCCTGTTAATCGATTTGTTTTTCTGTTTCAGTTTTGCTTTTTTCGAATAATTGGTAGCATATCAGAGTTTCACCTGGATAACTGGTGAGGTAAATAGCGAAAAAAGCAACAGCTTTGCCAATTTTCGTTTTTTTGAGCAAACACGGTGCAGTAGACACTATAAATGAATCACGAAAGGCGAAAAAATACACAAGTAACGATACAGGGTCGGGAGATCGGGTTAAATTCGCATCCGTGGCCTGACATTTAATTGCCATGTGGGTTTGTGGGTGATGGTCCTAGAAGGATGTGGGTTCGGAGGTGAATTAAGTGTTGTTGCGGTACGGTCGTTACACACAAAAAACTTCAAATGTACCAATTAATATAATAGGTAAATGGTCCGAACCCATCGAATTGTCGAATTAAGATACTTTTATGTAATAACATAAAAATAAGAAAAATTAAACATTTATACATAAACAATTCATTGGTGCGTAAATAGCATAGTAACTTATAAGTAATAATAAAAAGGTAGTGAAGAGTTAAAAATTGTTGTTACCTTCCATATAACTTTATATAGTAACTATAGTCCATACTTTAAAACTCTTTTAAAATAGTTATACCACACAATTACGAAACACTCATCCCGTTAAAGTGAATATTTTAATAGTTGCTTTACTATTTGATAGTAAAACAAGCAAAAACAAAATTCTTTTAGTAAATTACTATATTTATAGCTACAATAGTATCTGCATTGATCAAATTGACCAACAACATTTTTTGTGTGTATATCTGTTGAAACCCGATAAACGAGCTGCGATTGCATGAGCACACCGGCGACCCTTTCACCTGGATTGTGTTACAACGTTTGCCCTTAGAAAATACATCTCATCGATGCGTTAAACCGCCGGAGCCACCCAAAAAATCACCACCCACTATTTGCCATTTCGATGACGACCACGGTGGCCTTTAATCTGTCTCGCAAATTGGCCATGAGCTGATTGCTTTTTTACCTGTTGCGTATTCCCACCCGCAATTCCTGTACCTTCGCCGCGGGGATTTCTACCAAATAGAAGCCTTCAATGCATTTGAATTTATCTAATTACTTCATGTATGTAGGAATGTTATGGTTTAATTCGCCCGCGGGATACAGCGTCCATCAGAGTCAGAAACAGTCTTCCATGGAAAGTTTAAATAGTTGTGGCAGGTGGAAGGCTAATGTCGAAAAAAAAGGATTTTTACACTTTTGAATAAAAAAGCTAATAAAATGTATGCATTTTCTAGGAATATTGTGGCCTTCAACGCATTTGAATTCCTTTTTGCAGCTATAGCTACTGTGGTCTTAATTTATTTAATAATATAAAATATAAATAATTAATAATTAAATAATTAATTACATTTAGATTAATATAATTTGATAAGTTTACTTTTATATAAAAATCGTAAGAAAAATATAATGTTTAATTATAAGTGCACATATAATTGAAGTATATTGAAGTATTCATTTAAACAGAAAATTTTTCTTACGATTTTTATATAAAAGTAAACTAATCAAATTTATTTATTTTGTAAGCTTAAAAGTGGATACAATATGTAACTATTTTTCTTAAATTAAGGCCACATTAGCTATAGCTGCAAAAAGAAAGCATAGGTTATTGGTAATTTGTAATTGTCTTTTAAACTGAGAATAAATAAATAAATATTACTTCACAAAGTCATCTTTTGTTTGCGTTGCCATAAAGTTAAATATATGTATTTTTAGCCAAGAACTGCTCACTATTTCTTAAGAATTAGACTATCTACCCCATAAGGAGGCATGGTGACCTTTACTTTATAATGCATTTCTTATTAACTAAACGTTATTTTACCGATCGATTGCTAGGCATTTTCGTCGTGGTATTTTCTATTAAAATTAATATTTTAAGAATTTGTAGTCCGGACTAACTTTGTAATTTCGTAAGTTTTGTTTAAGCGTGCGTTAGATCCTCTTTAGTTATAAGTTTTAAAAAACCTATTTTAACAACCTTATGTGCAATACCTATATAAAATATACCTATTATAAAATTTCAAATAAGTTGTTCAATTATTTTATACGCATTCTTGTGTTGTACCCCTAAAATTTATTCTAAATTACCCATTCCAACTTTTCATTTTCCTGTTACCTTGAAAATTAGAAATATTTTAAATGTAACCGGAAACAGTGGCGCCAATTCGAGATATTCGCGTGTCTGTTTTCGGTACTACCAATTCAAATGCCCGAGCAATCGATAGCATTCAAAGCTCCAACAGCACTGTTATCGATGGGAAGCGCAACAGCTGATTTTGATAGTGCCGCCCTGGTCGCGTTCGGTTGAAGTTGAATTTTATTTCTTTTTCGCCGGTTTTTGACATAAATGGCCCCGCCAAAGGCCGCCAGCCACCGTCCGGCGGTGCGGCGCAGGAAGTCCGGAACCCTGGTGGACTCCATCCTGGACAAGTACCTCAATGTGCGGTTCTTCAAGTACCTGCTGCTGGAGCCGGCTGCTCTGCCCATAGTTGGTCTTTTTGTGCTCCTCGCCGAGGCGGTGATCAACGTGGTGGTTATCCAAAGGGTTCCCTACACGGAGATCGACTGGGTGGCCTACATGCAGGAGTGCGAGGGCTTCCTCAACGGCACCACCAACTATGCCCTGCTCCGCGGTGAGTTTCCGTTCCCTTCCCTTCCGTTCCGTGTTTATTTTTGGCGACAGGTGACCCCATTTTTGGGTCCCTTTCCTGCACCTGCTCTTGTTTACTTTGACAGGCGATCATGCACCGATTTTACTAACAAAATTAAGAACATTTTTACTCAGTATTCAGAAATCTTTACCCTTTTGTAATTTATTGTTAAACGTTTAACAATCTATATCATGAATAAATCTAAATACTTTGGGCTTTTCTTTAAATTTTAAACAAAAATAACACATTTTGTTACTATTATCTCTATTTTGTAAATATTTTGAAAATGTAAGAGCAACAATTCTTCATTCAATTAAAGAACAATTTAGAAATATGTCTCTTTTGACTCATTAAAATTTGAACTTGAGAGTAATATATCAAGGCTTAATGATCTACTCATTACTTTTCAATTACAATAGTAAGCTTGTTAAAAAACGAACAGGAAATCGAAGGCCTATAAACTATATTAGAATTTTTTAAACCTAATAAAAAGTACTTTTCAATTCAATTCCTTGATAGCTATGAACTGAAAAATTATAAACATACGTTTTGAAAAATGTGAGTTATTTGTTTGATTTCTTTCTACATTTTGATGGCAATTCAAAAACTGTTGTTCAACACTCAGGAACTAAACGATTTTTGTATAAATTAAATGATTAAAAATCGGAATTAAACATCGATTACAATAATTTCAGGTAAAAATAGCCTTGCATAAACACAGTGCTTGCTCGAATGACGGTCAATTTGGTTTATTCATCTCGAACCGACTCGCATTTGGAATACTCTCCCTCGGTTCCCGCCCCGAACTTAGATTAGCAACAATAACGTGCGTTAACTTAGACACTAACAAACAGAATCGGCCATCGAGTTGCCAACGACTGTCAGTTGAACATGGACTTGATTTTGTTTATGAAGCCTCCGCCGTCGCCTTGTCCGGATCCGGATCCGCCGCCTTCTTTCGCTTTGGCTTCCTCTTGGTCCGTCCGCTGGCCTTTGGCTTCTGTGTCTGCTGGTCCTTCTCCTGGCTTGGTGGATACCGAACTGGCTCCAGCTCCTCCTGCTGCTGCTGCGGCTCCTCCTTGACCCTCACTCGCTCCTGCGCTGCAACGAAAGATTGGGGGGAAGAGAAAAAGACACCATAATTTAACATAGCTCGCACATAGAACGCACGTATATTTCAACTACGAATTCAAACTCCAAGGTACATTTAGAGATTGCATTGGTAGATCTGGAGATTATTTACGTTGCTTTCTTACTGCCATCTTTGCGATTCGTGATTCCATGGATCTGGCCAGGAGTGTCCTCCTCCAGCTCGGCGTACGCCTCGATCAGAGCCAGTCGCTCCTTGTCCAGTTTTCTTCCCGATGGCACCGTGATCTTGACGTGCACGTAGTGATCGCCGTGTCCGTGAGCATTTACTCTCTTCAGGCCCTTGCCGCGCAGCATTATTTTGTGATGTGACGAGGTGCCAGGCTCCACGTTGATCCACTGGTCCTCGTAGACGCCCTGGACGCGCACAGTGCCGCCGAGCACCGCTTGTGCCAGCGAAATGGCCGCATCCGTGTGCACATCGGCGCCCTCGCGGCGGAAATAGTCGCTCCGCTCCACGCGGAAGGTGACGAACAGCTCCTTGCTGCCCACCTGCATGCGCACCGTTTGTCCGTTCTCGATGCCGGCTGGCACCGGAACGGTCACCTTCCGCCGCTGGACCGTACGTCCCTTGCCCTCGCACTCGCTGCACGGATACTTGATGTGCTGCCGGGTGCCCTGGCAGTAGCGGCAGGTGGAGCGCATCACAAAGGGTCCCGTCGAGACGGTCTCGAATCCTGTGCCATTGCAGTACTGACAGCGACCCGGTTTGGTGCCCGGCTCGCACTTGGAGCCGGCGCACTTGGGGCACTGGTCCACCACATTGACATTGACATCTTTGTTGACGCCGCGTGCAGCCTGGGCGAAGGTCAGGTCCATCACCATCTCCTGGGCCTGGCCGAAACCGAACTTGGAGTCGGCGAAGTCGTCGAAGCTGTTCGTGCGGAAGTTGCCCTCGCCGAAGATCTTGCGGAACAGCTCCTCCGGATCGATGGTCGAGCGGAACTGCCAGTTTTGGGAGAAGCCTTCGGGTCCAAAGCCTCCGGCGCCTCCTCCGGGGAATCCGCCGCCCTGGCGACCCATGTTCTCCGCCGTCTGACCGTAGGTGTCGTACTCACGGCGCTTCTGCTCATCGCTGAGCACTTCGTAGGCCTCCGAGACCTCCTGGAACTTGCGGCCTGCATCCGGGTCCTCTTTGTTGGTGTCCGGGTGGTACTTCTTGGCCAGTTGGTAGTAGGCCTTCTTGATGTCTTTGCTGTTGGCGTTCTTGGCGACGCCCAGTGTCGTGTAGTAGTCCTTGGCCAGGAGATTGCGCGTGGTGTGCAGGTGCCGGGTTTGTGGCGGATTTTTGCTCCGCGGTGGGCTCCAAGCGCTGGAGAGGCTTCGTTGGGCGATGGCACTGGGCGCGGAGTACGCGGTGGACGCCAGGCAGCTGCGCACCACCGGCAGGTGCCGAAATACGATTAAATTTTTACACGAAATCATCATTTTTCCATAAAAGTATCAGTTTTTCAGCTAACATGCCGTAACCTCCATGCTGCCCTACGAATGTTTCTCTCTTGCTCGCACCTTCGCTCGGTGTTCCGTTCCCGTTGACGTTTTGACAGTCGCCCCGAAACGCAGGCCGTTACGTCAGCCGCTTGCGCAGTCAAAACAGCTGATTTGAATTTGAATTGAATGGGTAACGGGCGAATGGCGGGAGATTCGAACATTCTAGAAAGAGTTTATTTATAAAATATGATTATTGCGTAAAATTAAGCAGCTTAACATGTTAACATTCGCATCAAATATTTTTTAACGATATATTTACAAGAAAAAAAATGCTTTACAAAAATTGTTTTTATTAAAATGAGAAATTCTCAGAAAATACATTTATTCTTTTAAAGAAAAAGTTTATAAAACCTAAATTATGGTGTATAATAAATAAATAGAAAAACTTAGGAAGTAAAATATTATTTTTATTATTTTCTAATACCATTTAAATTCATAGATATATTTCTTATTTTCTCCAGGAGACACTGGACCTCTGGTTTATCCAGCTGCCTTCGTTTACATTTACTCTGCTCTCTACTACGTGACATCGCACGGAACGAACGTCCGCCTGGCGCAATACATCTTCGCCGGGATCTACCTGCTCCAGCTGGCCCTGGTGCTGAGATTATATTCGAAAAGCAGGAAGGTGCCGCCCTACGTCCTTGTGCTTAGTGCCTTTACCTCGTACCGCATCCACTCGATCTACGTGCTGCGACTCTTTAACGACCCGGTGGCCGTGCTACTGCTCTACGCTTCCCTTAATCTCTTCCTGGATCGACGATGGACCCTCGGCAGCACCTTCTTCAGCTTGGCGGTGGGCGTTAAGATGAACATCCTGCTGTTTGCTCCGGCTCTGTTCCTGTTCTATTTGGCCAATCTGGGACTCCTGAAGACAATCCTGCAGTTGGCCGTTTGTGGAGTGATACAGCTGCTGCTAGGGGCTCCCTTCTTGCTCACTTATCCTATAGAGTACCTCCGAGGAAGCTTTGACTTGGGCCGCATCTTCGATCACAAGTGGACGGTCAATTATCGGTTTTTGAGCAGAGAACTCTTCGAAAACAGATCCTTTCACCTTTCGCTATTGGGCCTACACTTACTGCTTCTCCTGGCCATTGCCAAGCCCACCTGGACCTACTTCCAGAGCTACGTGCGTCTGCGCCGCGTTGAGGATCAGTTACAGCCGCAAATTGAGCGGCAGAATCGTGAAGTGAAGGCGCAGAAAAAGGTGAAAAAGGCGCAAAAGGACAAGGATGAGAAGAATTTCACAGCCGAGCAACAATCCTTTCTAAAAGCCTTTGAAAAGAGTCTGCAAAAGGCATCTGGAACGAAGGCAACACCAGCTCCTGCCCAGTCGGAACCGGAACACTATGGCATCCACTTCGATCGCTGCACTCAGCTGGCCCTGCTGCCGTTCTTCCTCTGCAACTTGGTGGGAGTGGCCTGCTCCCGATCCTTGCACTATCAGTTCTACGTTTGGTACTTCCACTCGCTGCCCTATTTGGCCTGGTCCACGCCGTACTCCCTGGGAGTGCGATGCCTCATCCTGGGACTAATTGAGTACTGCTGGAACACCTATCCCAGCACGAACTTCTCCAGCGCTGCCCTGCACTTCACCCACATCCTCTTGCTTGCAGGTGTGGCCAAACAACTAATTCAGACCATGCGAATAAATAACGCAGCCAAGAAGGAGCAGCAAGAACAGCAGAAGGAGCAGCGGGAACAGCAGAAGAAGGTTCAGTAGGAGGAGGATCTTTCTAGCCACGAGTGCCACTTAAAAAAGTTGATTATGCCAAATAAAAAGTACATTAAAAATGTCCTGTTTGTTCACTTACTTTTTGGAAGGGACGATCATCCTCACAAAATGCGTTATAATAATAACATTATGGCATTCATGTGTTCTAAGTTTTTATAAAAATCTTTTAACCGACAAAAGTAGAACTACAAAAGCAAGCTTAAAATTGATTTAATTTTATTTGGATACGTTAGTCTTTTGTATGTGCGCTGTACAAACGGCGGGGAGTTGGTTACCAACTCGCCCCGCGATAAATGCAACCTACTATCTACATAAAATAACTTAAACAATGTCCGCTTAAAACTACAAGAGCAATATTGGTGCTGTGACCTTCCCATTGAATGTAAGAAAAAGCTCGAAGCTCCGCGTCAATCGCTGCCCACCGCTGTGGTCGGCGTAAGCAGGCTGAGGGGCGTGGCAGCGGGACCGCTCACTGCCGGAGGATTGGGGGAAGATGGAGCCGCTGTCGCTGTCGCAGATTCTTCCGCCGGCACACTGCTGCTCCTCTGGATGCTAAAGAATCGAAGGAGCGTCGTCTCGCTATTTCTCCTACTTGAGGTTGGGGTTCTTGGTTGATGTTGTGTGTGGGGATGGGAGGAGTTGCCAGCCGGTGTACCACCGCCTCCATCCGTGTGGGAGATGCGCCTGCGGGGCGTGGCCTGCAATCTGGGACTGCACTCGGATTGCCGCAGACTCTGGAGACGAGGAGATGCCAGAACATCCGCCTGCTGCTCCTCGCTGATCTTATCACTTAGCGTCACATGTGCCCTGCCACTCATCAGCTTTTGTTTCCGGATATTCGTCAGCCAGTCAACCTTCTCCTTGGCTTTCCGCTTGGGCGACATAATACCCAGGTGAGGTGCCTCACCATCCAGCACATAGTTCGGCAGGTTGGAGGTGGGCGAATAGATTATGGCAGAGATAGGCGGTGGGTTGGCTGCCTCAGAGGTCGCCGCGGCTGCTGCTGCTGCCGCTGAAGTCGTTGGCGGGGAGGTGTACATGTGGTTCACATTTTCACTCAAAGGTGAATGACCTGGCGTACTGAGGAGCTTGTGCAGTGGAGACACATCTTCCGCCGCAGAATTCTCCTTTTGCCGTTTACTTGGGGAGGCGTCTTCTTCGTTTATGGGCTGAAGTTGTATGTGCCGGCAAGTCGTTTCCTGGCTAGAAGGGCCAAAAAGCCGCCTGCCACGAGACTCCAACGGTTTGGCTCGCTTCTGGGGTTGATCTGTGCCTTCCGTATCCGGTCCAGCTACACCCAGCATTTCCAGAAATGAGCGTTTGGTTGTCGTCTTTTCTATAGAGCCAGGGGTACGTTCATTTTGGTCCATTAGGCGCTTCAGCGATCGCGGAGTGGACTCCAGATCTCGAAGATTGTACTTGTGGTTTCCACTAGATGGACCAGACGACTTTTTGCCAAATTCCCTGACGTAGGAGGCAGTTCCTCGGTAATTTTCGGAACGCTCTGCCTCACTGAGGCCATCCAGATCGGGGCCAATCCGCCAGATCTTGTGACGCGCATCATCGCTGCAAGTGACAATGGGGCAATCGTGACTAGAGCCCCAGGCCACACAGGTCACTTCCACCGTGTGCCCCGCTAGGGCCACCAGCGGCTCCTCTGCGTGATCCAGGTTCCAGATGTAGGCCCGCTCGTCGCTACTCCCGCTCAGCAGATACTTTCCGTCCGGGCTAAGGCACGACTTTATGTAGAACGTGGAGTTCAGCAGACCCTTGTAGCAGGCCAGCGGGCGGGGTGAGTAGGAAGCCAGGTTATAGCAATAAATGGTATTGTCCATACAGTTGGCATAAAGTCTTGTGCCCGAAGCGTCCACAATGAGATTGGTGAATCCCCGGAAGGTGGAGTGGCCGGCATACGGTAACTTGTGCCTTGGCAGTGGCTCCTTTTTGTAGGCCGTGTAGTTTCGCCGCAGGTCCCACACCTTGATGACTCCATCGCCGGCACCGCAGGAGATAAGCGTGTCGTTATCTTGGAAGGCCAAGCCCGTGATGCTGCTCGAGGTGGTTCCCCCAGCCATCTTGGGAGTGCGTGTGCGCTGCTTTCGCTGGGACACTGGAGTGCCCGGCCCACCCGTGTGGCCGCTGTAGATGCAATTGTCCACACGCGACGTGAGGTCCATGTTGAGGTTTGCCCTGATGTCCCAGATGAGAATAGCCCCATCACGACCGCCGGTGGCAAAGACAGCGGGATCAGTGCGCTTGAAAGCCGCCGATTTCACGGATCTCGTGTGACCCACATAGGAGTTCAGGCCACGGATGCCAGAGCCCGCCACCTCCCACAGTCTGGCCGTGTGATCCCCAGAGGCGGAGACGAAACGCATCTGGCCGGGGGCCCACTCCAGGTCGAAAACGGCGTTGTAGTGGCACTGGGGACCCACCAGGGACTGCTCCTCCGGTTGGTGGTTCCGCTGCGTGGTGTCCTGCAGCGTGATCTTGCCGTCCTCGTTGGCAATCGCCAGGATGTGCCGGTAGCCATCGCAGTTGGCGAACTTGGCGGAGAAGATTGGCGGCTCTGGATTGAAATCCGGGCAGTAGTTGGCCGGCGCGATGCCGCGCCAGCTGTCTTCCTTGGCCACTGAAAGGCGACGCAGGGCGAAGTCGTATGTCCTTTCATTGGCTGAAAACGAGAGGGGAAACCGTGAAATTAGTGCCGTGGCTGTGCCATAGTTTTTCACGCATTTTCTGCAAGATCAGCAGTTTCCAGCGGAACATCTTGTGTGGTTTCTCAACTATCATAATCGATCCTCAGCGATCAGGTGCATATATTTTTGAGATAGTGGCAGTTTAGACTGGTAAACCCTTTAAACCCTTTTTGAAATCAACACCTTTGCTCACAGGAAATTCGAGCGCCAAAAGTGAGATTCTCCCGCCAAGCGAAAAACTCACCGTATCCGTGTTCCCTGGCCCGCAACTTGTTGTATATGTTCATCCTGCAATCCGCTCGGCGACTGCTCCTTAAATTCCACGTTTTGAACTATATTAATTGCTATTTCCTTTGAAATAAAACAACCTACGATGCATCGAAAATATTTTTCAACGACGCAGCTGGACCTTTTAGTAGTGTGACCGTGTTCGGATGAGCAGAATATGCCTTTTGGAGCGAAAATATATTCTCGAACCGCCAAAAAATCAAGAACGGTATTTTTGTATTTAGGGTATTCCCGAAACTGTTGAATTGTCGAGTTTAAATTTAAATTCCACTTTCACAAATTACATCGTTTCAACCACCTCGAGGCTGTTGCTGCAAACCAGAGTTAAGTTTGTCTTTTCTTAAAAAACCATGCTAACTACGAAACATTTAAGTAAACACCAGTACGGATTATTTACTTTAATAAATTTAGTTTAGAAGTGTGTCGCTGTGTACAAAAATTCCTTCGTCTTCGTAATTTTTTAAATGAAATGACCCTTAAAAAAATACCAACAGCTAATATCCATGGCCGATTCCCAGCTTGTGATTGGGCGACTAAACACTACTGGTCACACTGGCTCAGCTATATTTTGTTTTTGTTGCTGTTCGTTTTATGTTTAATAGAAGTTGCGCATAAATTCCCTATCAAATCATTAACAATTTGCGGATTTAAATGCAGCCGCCCCTTTTTAGTTGCTTGTGCTAGGAGTTGGAATCCCAGAAAGGTCGCTGGATACACGCACACACACACGCAGAAGCAAGGGAAGGACCCAAGGATACAATTCAAGGACTGCAGCAACAAAAACACAGGTGAGCGGGCAGGGCGCCAAAGTTGGATTTCTATTATTGCTTTCGACGGGGGAGGGTACGATGTGCCTGTTGCAATCAATAACACCCAGAAGGCAAAGAGACCCCCTCTGGGGAAAACAGAACACGCAAATGCAGGAACCCGAAAACTTTGGTGGGCCGTGGGTGTCGATTGAAGTTAGCCCACAAGTAGTCAAACAAACTCAAGAGCCCAATTGTTTTGGCTGTAGCGCACTTCCGCATTCCACCGCTGTCCTTGGAGGAGACCCACCCACTCCCACTGCCACTCCTCCTCTTTAAAGGATAGGCCTCCTTTCGGACCGGCCGTTTTATTGCACTTTGCGTGACCTTAACCATTTGGAGCGGTACGTGTCATGACACGCTTATATGCTAGACGTTATCTAACTGGAACTGGAATTCACTTAGTTAAATTAGCAGCCAGGGATGCCCTGCTCTAGATTAGGCTTAGTTACGACCTGGGTGGGATCTACATAGCTCTGGCTATAACGCATATATGTATATGGTAGCTTGAACTCTGACGAACCGCTAGGTGATTCCTACTCCTCACCGCAATCCCATGGTTTGCTAGCCCTGGTCTAGACTCCTTGTTTGGACAGTTGGAAAAGCTGCCGCATTTCCATTTAAGGCTCCAACACGTACGACACGCGCTTTGACGCCGTTAGAACGACCTTATAAATACGGTTAGAGAAGAACAGTTTGCCATCCATTATTAATACGGTCGAACCTCTTTATATCGTACTGACTTCAGCTTAATTTTGTGTTAACAACAGCCAGTTATAATAGCCCCAATTCGACTTCTCAAGAATGTTTTATTTTTTTTATTAAAAGGCCCTTGTGACGAATGCACGATAACGAGTTCTAGTGCCTTACAGTCAAAGTTCTAAAGATAGAACTCTCTGTACTTCAATGTTTGTTTTGTTTTTAGACTGATAAATACACAAATGGTTGACATTAAGGAAACGCTATAAGTGAAAACAATTTTATAGGCTCAAAAAGTGTAAGATATATGCAGATTTTATTTAAATAGGTAAGATATATTTTTGAAGTAGCTAAACGAAAATTATAGAACAAAAAATTAGCAGTTTCAATTTTCCAAGAAGTGTAGGTCAAATTAATTGTATTACTGAATGACTCATCCTAGTTAAAGGTAGACCGTACCGACTGTTTTATTGCTCACTCCACTCAAAACACAATGAAACACAAAGACCCCGAGGCAAAGAAAGGAGCTGAGTTTCTTTATCTAAAGATTACCGTGTCGATGAACGTTTCCCAATCATTTATGTTTCTCTATCTATACCTGTAATTCTCTTATCAATGCTTGCAACTGGAATCGGTGTAATATATGTATGATATATAGCAACGATGTCGGTGGCCGGGCTTCGACAATGTCTGCTACTCTGGAGCGTCGACTATTGGAACTTGGAAGGTAAAACTCTGAAAAGTGTTAAGCTGCTTTTCTCTTCAGTTGCCAGTACACAGTTTTCAGTTGTTTTCCCGTTTTGTTTGGGCGGCTCAAGTTGCTTGATTTGCTTGAATTGCTCCACCACAATGCTTTAGTCAATGAATATGCAGCGATAATAATGTCTGAATCCGAATCGCACCCCTCCCTTCCGCTTTAGTCATGGCTGACAATGTCTTCAAGTCGCACGATATCGGGCTGCGGGCGCAGAAGAAAATCCTCTCACGCATGGCCACCAAAAACATCGCGAAGACCTTTATCGATGGGACAACGGCCTCGCTGCTGGACAACCTGTACAGGCTCTGCAAGATGCACACCGGAAACAAGGCCAAGGCGGAGAAGCTGATCAAGAACATCATCAAGATCGTGATTAAGATCGGGGTACTCCACCGGAACAATCAGTTCAGCGAGGAGGAGCTGCAAAAGGCGGAGAACTTTAAGAGAAAGTTTCAGGTAAGTCTTCTTTTAAATACTTAAAGTTAGAAAAAAACTGTTCTGTATATGAAAAAGTACATTTCATAGAAATATTCAGATTATTATGATGATGAAAACTTTTATTTTGCTGATGTCAGAACCTTCACTTTAAATTTCGAGAATTGCTATTTTATAATTTAAAAGATTTTCATCAAAGAAATAAATTTTATATTACAAAAAGAAAAAAAAGCAACGTTTTTTTTATTTCTAGCACCCTGTTAAGATTATACAATTTTCTTCATAAACAATCTAATTTAGTTAGATTTAATAAACATATATACCAGGAACTGCATTTAACCCACTTTATTTCCCTGCAGAACACCCAGCTCTCCATCATATCATTTTACGAAGTGGACTTCACGTTCGACCTGGCCTACCTGCAGAAGTCCATAGCCGAATCGCAAATGGCACTAAAGTCGATTGTACAGCCGCATCTTACAGAGAAGTCGCTGGGCCGCATCGACGAGGTGTTCGATTTCTTCGGCGAGGAGACGTTGCTGGAAACGGCTTTCCGATCCGACTCCCCCTATCGCGAGGTGATGGGAAAGATCGTGGCCGACATTAATGCCGCCATGGAAACGGGGGATATCTGAGGAGACCGGCAAACGAACTGAGCTGTCATTGCGTGCTATGAACGAAAGGCTATCTATCGAAACCAAAAAGCAGCCAGTAGCTAGTTGCAAATGGAAAATGCTTGCTTAAGAGCTCACCCACCAACACCAAAATACAAAATCTAGATATAGCTATGGGACAGCAACGACAGTGGGGGAAAGCAGGGAAAATGGAAAAAAGACATATGTTTAAACAACAGTTTAATTAAGTTTAACTAGTGATATACCATTGACAACAATATCAAAAGTGTAAAGACGTCCGTATTGATTATTTTGATGACAACGTTAACATTTGTGTACTCAAAGTCTATATAGTAATAATTAGGAAGAACCAAATGCATTTCGCCAAAGGAATTCACCTATCGAAAATTGTAAACTCGAGCAAAATGCTTTTATCGGTTTGTAAGTTGTTAATCGTATGTGTGAAAGTCACTGTATATGTGTAAGTCTAGGTGTTAAATGGGAAATACTTCAGCACATAAGCAATTATTAGTGGTCAACTTTTTGATACTCCAAAACTCGCTGTTTCCAATCGCAAATACCTGTACGCATATGTGCCCCACAGACACCGTCTTAGTCAGACTTCAAAGTACTTAACTGATCGTTGCTGATCGGAATCACCTAATACCTAACTCACAAGCGTAAGCGTTAGTCCATTGGTTATGCTAAGTTGTCACCAGAACCTGTTTATCTATCATCTCCTTTTGTCTTAGAGCTAGCTCCGCACATCTTTTTGTATTTCTCTATGTATTCCACGCCTCAAAGGGGTCGGTAACCTTAAGCATTATTTATGATACTCCCACAATGATATTCCAAGTACCAGAAACATATCGGAACTATTTAAAAGAAAACATCGCTAAAGGGACAATAAGTTCTTTGAATTTCTATATAACTTCTGGTTAACGCGGGGGAAGCACAATTTTAGTCGTATAGATTTTAAATATTTATTTATTTACCAACAAAACTATGTTGATTATAAAAATAAAAGCAACAATTACCAAAATGTCCTAATTTCTATTACCAAGACCACCAAATACTAGCACCACAAAGCGGCGAGCGCCTTTTATCGCCAGCCTGGATTTAAGCTTTTCTTTGACTCTCCATTGAAATATACCTGGATTTGGGTATCTAGTAAAAGCAGCAGAAGTGGTATACTCCAGCACTAGCTGGTTTATGTTTTACAAATTTTAATAAGTAAATGTACTTTTTCTTTATGAAAGTTTATTTAAATGCTAAAAATTGTTTAAAGAGCACCATTAATTATAAAGGTATGTGGTTTAAACAAAAAACTATCGCTAAGTGGAGCCAGTACCAATCTACGGAAACAGTTTATTTATTTTATCTTTAATTTTATTTATTTAAAAAATATGTTTTGTTTTAGATGATTTTTTATTGTTTTATTAATGTTCTTGATCAATTTCTTAATGTTTTCACCATTTTTAAAAAAGTAAGACATTCTAACGTCATAGCGCAAACAAATAGGCCTCATTAACTTGTTTTCGGTTTTTTTTCCAGTATGTTTAGATTATCATAACTTATGATTTATAAGTCTATGATTTTTTCAATCAAAATAAATAAAATTGCTCATTTTTGGTTTCTGATTAAGATATCTGAAAATAAACTTTTAAATCAAAGACTGCTCTTTTTTCGGTAGAAAAAATGCTGTGAATGCAGTAGTGTCCTTCTGGGACTGGAAGGACAACAGTCACTCTATGATCCAGATAGCTAATTGGCAACTTTTCTACATAAACATCATGCTGTAATATGTATCAAAGAGAATTTAAATTTGATTAGTCATCAAGGTTGCTTTGAAGCTTACATTGTAAGGGCAAGTGTGGTTAACATTTGAATATGGAGCAAACATATCGTAGAAAAATTGTATCAACTGATTCTGTTTTCCACTAAGGTATTTGCAGCCGTTCAAAGTAAAGTCATACAGAAAGGGTTTATATCCATTCAGTCTCTTGAGCACTTTCACTCTTATCTTAAACGAAAATATAAGTAACTTTGGTAACAATGGTACTACAACTGAGTGTGAATAATTTCATACCATTATATTATTTATGGGCAATTTATAGAACCTTGTCTTCAGTGTTAAGTATTTATAGGTGCGATTTGCAGACTTCAAGAAACATTCGGCTACATCCATAAACTCTGGGTCCAAGGAAGTACAGTTTATATTGGTAAACTCAAACTTGCAACATACCTAAAAAATCAAAAAAATCATTTCTTTAAACGAGCTTTTTGACGACATCCCAGAGGACTATTTACCTTAACGACTGTAAATGATAATATTAGTAAAAGCACTGCTGTCCATCTAAACGCGGCCATGGCTTAATAGTTTTTAAAATGCCCATGTTGGTTTTACTAAAACAAGTTCAATACAATAAATAATTATGTTAATTACCATCAAGATAACATACTAATCATAATTATTATGTTATTCTCTCTCTCGGAACTTAAGTTTGTTTTATTATATAATAATTTCTGATGCTATAAATTCGTACCTAAGTATGTAGTGTTATAGCTCATTAGCTTAATCCGGAGAAATGGCCACTAATTCCATTTAAATTACGATTTTCGGATGGATAAGGCCCAATTATTACAGATTTTTATTTGCTTATTATATCGTTGTTGGCTTCTTAGAAGGATTTGTGACAATCAATGGCCCCACACAATGCTTTCGATCCAATCCGTGAAGAGGTGAACTTTGGTGTAGACACTGGGCAGACCTCGGGAGCCACAAACCAATCCGTAAGAAACGATACCGATCACCTGCTTTAAGCACGGATAGAGCGGATGCTGCACAAAGATGGGACTGCCGGAGTCGCCATTGCAGGTGTCCGCCTCGGTGGTCATCGAACCTGCGCAGAACTGGGTGCGTGTGTCGATGCTGAAACGCAAGCGCTTCTGGCACTCCTCGTCGGTGAATCGCTGCAGACTGACCTTCAGAAGGTGAGAGGACTTCACCCCCTCCGCGGTGAATCCCCAGCCGGCGGCTGTCACCTGTTCATTCTCATTTCCGCTGCTAGGAGGCAGACATACTGCCGCCACATGGTCATTAAACATAGCATCCCGATCAAGTTCCAACAGAGCAATGTCGTTTTTATAACCCTGCTCTTCGTCCTCAGTATCGTAGCCTGGGTGGACCACATAGTTGACCACCCGAAAGTCCTGAATTTGGGCATCATCTGTAGTACTGTTGTAATCCAAATCCCCCAGACGAACAACAAACTTTGGAGAATCGAAGTTTGGGTCCAACCTTTCGGCCTTTGTTCTGGTTTTGAAAATAAAATCATTTAAAATTCATTTTTAGGGAACCCTATTAAGAATAACCCAGGATTACTTACTCATCCGTCTCCAGGCAATGTGCCGCTGTCAGTATGAACCTGGGATGCACCAAACCCCCACCACAGTCCCAACTGATGTCGGTCTTGTTAAAACGATGGGTACCGATCAGGGCCATGAAGGGGAATTCCCGACCTGACGCCTTTGTGCCGCCCACAATGAAGGGCGTGGATTGACATGCGGCTCTGGCCTCGTTGTACTGCTTGCACTCTAAATAATTCCGAAATAAAACGTTTATAATAAAAGGGAATCAAGGCAGTAACCCCTTACGCTTCTCATATGGCCTTGTCTGTTCAACAGGTTTTCGATTCTGATGATCCAGGGGTATAGGACAGCATACAATATCGTTAAACTCGTCGCAATACTTGACTTCCGGTCCAATCAGGTGTTGGTTGTAGAAAATTACTGGACAGTCGGAAGGAGTCAACTCCTTGCATTCGCCGGTGCCATTGTCACAGTATTCAGGCACCGCGCTGACTGAAACAAGCAAAAGTAGCCACAGAGTTCCGGAGAACGAATGCATTGCAAGGCTTTGTGCGCACTACTGAGAATGCCTCTCGAGGTTGGCCAGATCGGCTACCACAGCTGAGCAGCAACGAGCTTTAAGTTTATACAAGTTCCCAGCCAGAGAATCACAGACTCCACAAGTGACTCATTAATCCAAGCTTTAGCTTGAAGATGGGGCCAGGAGGAAGTGGGCTCTCATATAACTAATAACACAAATAGGTATTATTTTAAAATGTTTCTTAGTTTCACTCTAAACATATCAGAGAACGGTTTACACATTACATGGAAATGGGACTTACACGTATACTCGATGATAAATGCAAACGCCGGTACAAGATAAAATAATACTACATTTAAATTAAGCTTATGTTTTACACATGTCTTCTTGCACTCAAGTCTGCGCTAGTCTAATTGTGTCGCATGTTTTGCATGTGCTGATGTTGCTGCTGCTGCTGCTGCTGCTGCATGTGTTGCATGTACATTTGTTGCTGCTGCTGGTTGAGTTGCTGCTGTTGTTGCAGGCTGCCACCGCTGCCCAGGGGAACGCTGGTTGTTTGCACCGCGTTTACCTGTTGCTGCTGTAGTTGCATTTGCTGCTGTTGCTGTTGCTGCTGCTGTTGTTGTTGTTGTTGCTGCTGTTGTTGCTGTAGCTGATGTTGTTGTTGCTGCGACGGCTGTTGATGTTGGGGTTGCAGAGGGGATTGCGTTTGACTTGTTATTGCATTATTGTTGGCATTGTCGGTGCTGAAATAATTAAAAGTTCATTAAACCTAAGCAAACTTTTATTTCATAACATTCTTACATCTTCTCCGAGTGAATATCCTCTAAGTTGAGATGGGTTATAAACCTAAGGCGCATTTGAAGCAAAGGTCGTAACCGCTTAATGATGGCCTCCGATTCGTTTTTGATGATGTTACCCACATGTATATATTTAATGTGGTAGCTATAAATGATATAATTATTCTCTAATGAATATTTTTGATTATTGTTTGATTAGCTTACAGAAAATCACATATCTGGTCCATGTACAGCAAAGGTTTTGGCCCGTGCTGCTTGTCAACAATCTCGAGAATCTCATATAGCAACACAGCAATACCGGCCACTGCGTTCGGTTTCTCCAACTCTATTCTCTGCAGAAAGGGCCCAAATACATGGCATAGGTAGAGCAGCTGCTGCTCGGTGCGCACGCAGGGCTTTAGCTTTTCCTTGAGGTACCTGGTCATTGCCGCCAGCTTGAAAGCACCCATGTGATGAAACACCGAATGGGCTACTGCCAACACCACGGCGTAGGTCTTCTCCAGCATCGCCTCGCGCACTGTCTTAAAGTTGAACAACTCGAAGGCATTGAATCTGTAGGTCCAGTTAAGCATATTGGGTGTGTTGAGCATATCCTGCAAGCGATCGTATATGCCACTCCAGTAAGGCTCTGGTAAGGCGGCCAGAACAATGCCTACGGCATTGATATAGCTGTGGATATCCTTCTGCGGAATGATCGCATATCCGCTGACTATCACATCGATGAGATTGTTTGCAACCAAAGAGGGTGCAACAGGCAGACCCAGAAGCTCTACGCAGGTCACGTAGAGCGCATGAGTGGGGGCGTTTGGGAACTCATTAAAACGCCAGTCGGTGGAATAGAAGACATTCTTCCCGCTGATGGCTGCAACGGAATTAAAGGGTGAATATAAACACATAATTTACAAAACCCTTCAATCCAACTCACTGTCTGCCAAGCGCCTGATCAAACTCATGTAGTAACTCAATTCGGGGGTCCACAGCGATTCTGGGTTTTGCAAAAATACCTTATACGGCTCACTAACACTCCAGTTGGGCGGCCGAATCTCACTAAAGGCGCTGGTAATAGCGCCCACCTGAAAAAGTACAATACATTAATGAAAAGGCAAATTGTATTTTGAACACCTCTTACCAATTTTTTCTTAAGCCCAGGCCGATCTCGCAAGATTCGTTCATAATAATGAAGAGTGTTGTACAGATAAGTTATAGGTCGATCTAAAATCCAAAAACGTAAGTTCTGAACATCTTGAGAGAAGCTTATTTACGCACCATGAAACTTATAGAGTATGCTCAAATGATCCAAAATGAATCCCAGAATTTGGTGGACATTCGTGATGGTGAGCTCGATAAATCTATGGACCACCACATCCAGAACGGGAAGGAATCGCAAACAGACATTGCTGAAGTACACAGGCAGCGGAATCTGCGAGGCGGACTCGTCCAGGGCGAACTTTTCCGGATATTTTTGGTGGAACGACAAGTGCTTATCCTGCCTAGGGAAGAACATTGCTATAAGAGTGGTCTCTTAATAAAATGTAACACTTACCAGTTGCTCTGCTTCCAATGGTCAGGATTGTTGTCCTTGCAGAACTCCTGAACCCGATTTCTTAACTCACTTGCTTTGAGTAGCAGCAACTGTATTATAAGGAAGCAGACTTGAGCCTCGTTTCCCTCGTGGGTTCGCAGGGCCAGACAAAGCACAACCCTATCGATGGTCACAACATTGAACTTCCAGATCATGTTGTTGATCGTATCCACGCACTTGTGAATAAAGTCACGGCCATCCGAGGAGCTAGCCACCTCGGCCACCAAATAGTCGCAAAATTTGCGCAGGTGTGTAGACAAGGCTCTAGCGCTGATGCCCTCCAGGATTCTGAGAGGAAACCATAATATAAGGAATACCGCAGAAGTTATCATGAGTTAATGTTACGCACTTGTAAGCCACTGGGCTTATGTTCTCCGTTTCCCAAATGATCTTGAACAAAAGGCAGAGGAACAGGGGATTTGTAGTTGGTCGCAGGAAGTGCGCAATAATGTCGTTCTCGTTCGTCATCGACGTCCATGTGCGGTATTCCTCTTCAACGGCCTTCTTAAGTTGTTGCTTATTCTCCGGCGGTTGGTTGTTCTGCGTGAAATATTCATTTAAGGCGGACGGAAAGCAGGCCAGGGATTGCATGGGCCAGGAGTGCGGCGTGTGCTGCATGATGTTTGACAGGAAGTCCTTGCACCACCCCTGCATCTCATCCCCGCCGCCGTGCACATGCATGGAGCGTGCTAGTGTAAGGATGAGGACCCGGTTTAGCTCCTCGCTCTCATTAGATGCCACCGCTCCGGGAGACTTGTCGTTAAAATACCGCGAAAACTGAGGCTGGAACTCCGCTGATCCAATGCTGGTGATCAGGCGCAGAGCAGTGGATTCAAAGCTGAAACGAGAGAGCATATCAGTTTCTGTATAATGTCTTAACTTGTTTATAGCCTACCAAAGATTCAGTTGCATCTTGTTTGTTTGCGGCACCGAGGACAGAGAGTGGAGCAGCGACAGCAATTGGACTCGGTAGTGGGTAGGCACATGATGTAGACGGTACGAAAACATCTCCATCAGGGTGTGAAGCATAGCCCACGCATGGTTTTTAAACACAGTTGGCATCAGTTGACCTATATGGAAATACATTAAACCGTAAGTGCATGGTTTGATTATGATTGTTGGCTAGACTCACTTAGGAATCCCTTGATGCCCAATGACTCTATTTCTGTATATACCAAAAGTCTGGCATAGGTTTCCAGTAGCGCCGCGGCTGGAACTTGTCCTTTTGTTTGCGCCTGCTTCAGCATCTGAGTTACGAAGCTGTGGATTAGCGACATTTTACTGTGCACAGTCAGGCTGTCTAGAACCGTGACCGAGAAAGTTACGGCCGGTATTTGACCACCATTCGGCGACTTTGAAGTGCCATTTAGAGCATCTAGCAGCAGGCCCATGGGTCGTCCAAAGTACTCCTGATTCGTGGAATATGCATTGCAGATGAGAATGATGCGGAAGTCGTTTCCCAGGGTCATGTTCATCATGGTGTTGGGCGTGACCAGGTGCTGCAGAAAGCTGTGCATAAAATGGTGGATGTTTAAACAAATACTAAGGAAAGAAATGGTAACTTACTCGTAATGGTTTTTCAGTGCAATGGGCAGAGGTCGCGTGATATTCATATTCTCCACTCGTGCCTTCTTCATCAGGTGGATCCATACGCAAATGGGGGCCATATGACGGACCATCGAGGACTTATTGGTGTCTGGCAGCTTAAGCGGCTCCAGCTCAGGATAGAGGAGGTCAAACAACCTGAACACGGGCAGAAAATTGGTGATCTAAAAACAAAAGTCATTGAAGATGATTCATTTAGATTAGCGGAGCACCTACAGGGTTCTTTTGTATGCTTCCAGAGATGAACTGCAAGAGGATCCACATCAGCTGGTCACGACCTTTGCGGAGCTCCAACTTTGAAAGCTAAAAAGGATTAAAAGTAAGTTAAAAAGAAAATTGACTTGTTGGTTTAACAAGGGACCCACCTTTTCGTGGAGTGCCAACACTATGTGCATAAAGCTAACAAACTGGAAGAGCACAAAGTAGATAAGTTGTGAGGAAAGATGCAGCCACACCCACTCGTAGGGCGTGATCTGTTCGTCTGAGGAGTTAAAGCCACTGCCCGCAGTGGCGTCGTTAGCCTCTGTCATTTCCATGGCCTGGACTATCAGGTTGACCAGCTGCTCCTCCAGGGCATTGTAACGTTGCTTTTGGTGCTTCTGCAAGTTCAGCATCTGCGAGACCATCTCCCGCGAGTACGGCTGCTCCAAAACGTACCGGAGCAGGGGCTTCTGCTCCTCGAGAAGCTCTGGTTCGTAAGGCAGGCTGCCCTTAAAGTTAAACTTCAGGGTGTTATGGTCTAGCCGCCAGGAGTTCATCATGTGATCGGCATAACCGAAGTGCTCCACGATGGGCAGCATACTGGCATGCCCGATGATCGAGACCATTTGTGCCGTGGTGCGGAACTCCTCGACAAAGTCGGTCATCAGACGGTTGAGCTTCCAATGGTAGGGAAATGGACGCATGATCTCGTTGGCAATGAAGTAGGCGGGCAGCAAGCAATTGTTGCGGTCGAAGATGAAGCGCAGGATATCCTCGACGGCCAGCAGCTGCGGCATGTAGGTGACATTGACGTTGAGGGGAAACCATTGCGCCTTGTCGCGGCACACCTTCATGATCTCGCGCACGCCCTTGTAGTCCACATGGACGATGACGCGCTTAATCAGACGGAAGCTCTCGATCCAGAAGGTCCGGTGCTCGAAGTCCAGTTTCTCGCACATCAGGACCTTGTCGCACAGCATCCTGGCGGTAATGACGTGTGCATCCACCAGTTTGACCAGTGCCGCCATCAGCACCTTTATGTGGTAGCCTGAGGCGCCGGCTGTCCGCAGCAGATAGACACGAAGTACCTGCTCCCGGTTCTCCTGCGTCACGTTCCCAAAGGCAGTGACTAAAACAGATCGGGGTTATCAAAGCTGCAGTCCCGGTAAGCGGATCACTTACCCAGATCATTGGCGAAACTGGTAGCTCGCTCCTGCTCGCCATTAGGCTTGAAAACCATGACGCTCACGAACGCCTCATCAATGGAGTCCACCTTCTGTAAAAGGAAAATCGTTGATCAGCGGGTGGTTTTCCTCGGTTATGTTTTCCATATTACCAAGAACTCGTTGACGGTGTCTATAACTTGCGTTTCCATGTCCATTTATATTGTTTTTCGCATTTCCGACACCGCATAAACAAAATCGCGTCTCGTCTCTTCTTCTTCTCAGGCGGTGCATAAAAATACACTGAAATCCAAACTGTGCTAAAACCAAAAAGTAGCCAACACCTCTTTAAAAATAAGCTAAAACAGTTGGGAATCCCGCTAAGATTTAACTAGAAAAAACAACCATAGCATCACTGACTAACCGGCAATTGCAAGAAATGGTCACACTGTGCGGCAGAGAAAAATAAAAACCAGTTGATTTATCCGTTTAATCGCACAAAAACAATGAAAAAAGTGCTGGTCACAGGTGGAACTGGCCTTGTAGGCAAAGCCCTGGAGGCGGTGATCAAGGAGCAGGCTCCAGCTGATGAGCAATGGTACTTTGCCGGCTCCAAGGACGCAGATTTGACGTGAGTTAATGCGAGACACCTCGATTGAACAGAAACGTAAACAAAGGTCTCCTCAGAAATCTGGCAGCCACGCAGGCACTCTTCGCCCAGGAGAAGCCCACGCATGTTATCCACCTAGCCGCAATGGTCGGAGGTCTGTTCCACAACATGAACAACAACCTGGACTTCCTGGTAAGCTGCGGTCCGCGTACCTGATTCCGAACCCAACTTAACTCCGTTTTCCTTCAGCGCAACAACCTGCTCATCAACGATAATGTCCTGCAAACGGCGCACGAACAGGGCTGCGTCAAGGTGGTCTCGTGTCTGTCCACCTGCATTTTTCCGGACAAAACCAGCTACCCCATAGATGAAACCATGGTGCACAACGGGCCACCGCACCCCTCAAACTATGGCTACTCCTATGCAAAGCGACTGATAGACGTGCAGAACCACGCCTATCACGATAAATATGGCCGGCTCTACAGCTCCGTGATTCCTTGCAATATTTTCGGTCCTCACGACAACTACAAGCCTGAGGTCAGCCACGTGATTCCGGGCATGATCAATCGGATGCACCAGCTAATTAAGGAAAATCCCGATGTGCCGGAAAGCGAGAAGGTATTCACGGTCTTTGGAAGCGGAAAGCCCCTGCGTCAGTTTGTGTACTCTTTAGATCTGGCCGAGCTTATGATCTGGGTGCTTAGGAACTACGACAGCGTGGAGCCTATCATCCTCAGCGTTGACGAAGCCCAGGAGGTGACCATTTACGAAGTGGCTCAGGCCATTGCCAAGGCATTTAAATTTAAGGTGAGTTAGTAATAGAGATTTCTGGGATATCCAACAACATAACTTGTTTTATTCCAGGGAAAACTGGTCTGTGATACGAGCAAAGCGGATGGACAGTACAAGAAGACGGCGTCCAATGCCAAGCTGCGCTCCCTGCTGCCTGACTACGCATTTACAGACTTTGAAACGGCCATCGAAACGTCGGTGAAGTGGTACAAAGACAACTACGATCAGGCCAGAAAGTAATTCCATATTGCAGCCCCAGCCAATGTAAATAGACTCCGTCTTTCCACAGAACTTTAAACACGCTTTATGTCCAACAAAATAACAATGATTAGTGTGGAAACTCAGTCTGTCCAGGAGTCGCCATATTGATTTTTTCTGCCAGCGGGCTGGCTCCGCGCTGATGGCTCCGCGGGTCGCTGCTGGACGGGAGCTGGTGGCTCATAGGGTCGCGAGTAGGGACTCTGCTGGTGCTTCGAGTAGTCCTCCCGGTTCCTTCGCCGCAGGTCCTCGTACGACTGACCCGGCTTGGCCGGCTCCAAGGGAAGATCCGTGTCCATTATTGAAGCAGCTGCTTGAATCGAGAGAAATGCTTAGAATCTGCTGGAAGCCCAAGGAACTTATGAACTCACAGTCCAGAGTGGGACGGTAGATGTCGTCCAGGCCAGCCATGGTGGGACGCGACTCCGTGTCCAGGTTGAGAGAAGTACTCCTTGTAGGCTGGAACGCTTCATCGCTGTACACGTCCGCCGAGCTGGGCGTAAAGGGGGCCAGGGTGAAGGCCCTGCCCAGATTCTCGTCGGGTGTGATGGAGCTGATGACGCCGCCACCCTGCCTTCGCTGACGCAGCAGCTCGCCCAGGTGGGAGTTGGGCAGGCGCATGATCTTTTCTGCGCACTTCTGCTGGTAGCTGAACTTGCCCACGAAGTAGCCCAGGATGACGCCCATCACGACCTTGGGCACTGCTCCGTACTTGACATGTCCCTGGAGATAGCCGTTCTTGACGCCAAAGTAGGCCAACAGACCAAGTCCTGTGCCAAAGGGAAGACTCCGCTGGAAGAATGACTCTGTGTTGCACTCACGTAACGCCTTCACCTCCTCCGCGGAAAACTGATAGTCGGCCTGAAAATTGTGTAAACAAAGTTTTAGTGGAAGTTTCAGTCCCATTTAGCACTCACCAGTGGGTGGGGGGAGTGCTGCGGTGGCTGTCGGGAACCATCTCCAAGCGGGGAGTCCATGATGATACAATTTATTCAGGAATTTGTGAAATGTATAACGGACCAACCTACCGGCGCAGCCGATTTGCCAACCCTGGTCGCCGGCGAAACAGCCCTGTGATAACTTCCATTTTAGTGATGCGCAATCTTAACAATTCTGATTCAACAAATATTTTCTGCAATTATTTAAAAAAAAATTATTATAGCCTTATTATTTAAACAAAGTAAGCTGGAGTATTTTTGTAAGAGAAATAAATGTTTATATTTTTGTAAAACTCAACCTGTATTTTTTAAAAAAGTATTCCAAAAATTCATTTAAAGTGATGTCCCTTTGTTCTTACAAAATTCAATAGGTATCTAGTTCATTATATTTCAATTCCAGTCAACCAATAACTAAACTATCGGCCCCATTGAATGTGCCATTGGCAACTCTGAAGCTACACACCAAATTGAAACTCCATTCCAGCTGAAAATCAAAGACTCGGAAAAACTTTTCAAAATTCGCCGTAGTACCCACGGAGGACGCGTGCTAAGTGGCGGAAAGTCGCGCACCACCAGAACCAGGGATGCAACGCGCACGACGCGACGAGATTATGACATTTTCGCTGTCAAGTAAAGTTACAGCTGTCTCGTCTGCTGGCCGCGATCCCGAGCCTGTTGTTGTAATTCACTGAAATTTGTACTTTTGGCAATGTTCTCCACCACCACACACTCCGTGGTAAGTCCCGCCCCGGGGCCACCCATTGATCCGCCCACCTTACTGACTGCCCTCCACCTTTTGCTCACCACTCACCTGCTTGGCGAATCGGGGACTTCGAATGCGATGACAGCCCTACCTGTACCTTGGCAACTTTAGCAGAAAGCCGCACTACTACTCCGTGAACCGGACCAAGCTGCATGGGAGCGCGAGTGCGACGCGCTTGTCCAAGTCCACGTACGCGTCCGCGTCCAGCCGGAGTCATGACCTCGTGCTGGACTTCAGGAACCTGCTCAGCCGCTCGGGCGCCAGCTTACAGGGCATGGTGGAGAGGGCGGCACGACTGAACGGCATCCTCGACCGGCAGATGGTCAACGAGGTGCTGGCCAAGGTGACCAGCATGTTGCCCGCCATGCGCGACGTTCGCGTCACGCTGGAGGAGCCGGCCACACAGATCGGTCGTGTCCAGCTGCAAAATTATCAGTTCGAAGTTTCGCTAACCGGAGCAGCAGGTGCCCCGCCCACGGGTGCCAATGTGTAAGTCCAAATGTCGTCTTTACCTCCTAAAGGCTCCAGCTAATCCTTGTTTCACTCTTTCAGCAGGGTGATTCCAACCAAAACGCAAGGTCTTCTACGTCCGCTCTTCTCCCATCAACAACTGTGAGTGTACGGAACTAATTTACAAACTATGGCTAAAGTTCAGCTCTTGCATTTAGGAAACACATACGTGGCTTTAAAACGGATCGCTCCATTGAGGCGGAGCAGAAGCGGAATCCCACAATGACCTCCCGGCTGAAGAATGCCCTGGCCAATTCCCCCCAGCGCCTAGAGGGAGACACATCTATCCAGGCTGAAAAGTTGAGACGATTGCTGGCGAAAACCGACGACCATGGATACAATAATGCCGTAGGATAACACCTCCCATACTTTTCTTAGAGGCACTAATGATTTTCATTATAGGAGAACTTGAAGATTGCCTTTGCCGAGGGCTACTTGGCCGCCGCTAACGCTGAAGATTCTCCAAAATCTGGGAAAACTATGAAGTATCTTAAGGTACGATTTCCAATTTATTCTACGACTGCCCTTTGAAATTTGAAGACCAAAGAAGACCCTTGTCTTCTTCAGTTTTTTAAGTATTTCCTAATAATTATCACGTAGACTTTGCAGACTCTCGTCGTTATCGTCGTTTTTCTGGGCATATTCCTGAGTTTCTTCACCACCTCCAACGGATCTGTCTTTCGGTGAGCCTCCACGTCAGTTTCCCTACTCCTAGTCTGATTGCCTTTTCTTTCAGCAGCATACAGCTGGGCAACCAGGTGGAGGTGGATCCGGAGGAGATCAACGTCACTTTTGACGATGTTAAGGGCTGTGACGAGGCCAAGCAGGAGCTGAAGGAGGTCGTCGAGTTCCTTAAGAGTCCCGAGAAGTTCTCGAATTTGGGCGGTAAACTTCCAAAGGGTGTGCTCCTGGTTGGACCCCCGGGCACAGGCAAAACTCTGCTGGCCCGTGCCGTCGCCGGTGAGGCCAAAGTTCCTTTCTTCCATGCTGCCGGTCCGGAGTTCGACGAAGTTCTCGTTGGTCAGGGTGCCAGACGTGTCCGCGACTTGTTCAGTAAGTTGAGATGCATAATTCTGAATGCCCCAATTAACAAAGTCATTAATTTGCAGAGGCAGCCAAAGCCCGAGCACCTTGTGTGATCTTCATCGATGAGATCGACTCGGTTGGCGCCAAGCGAACCAACAGTGTTCTTCATCCATATGCCAATCAGACCATTAATCAGCTGCTTTCCGAAATGGATGGCTTCCACCAAAACGCCGGCGTCATTGTTTTAGGAGCCACCAACCGTCGCGACGATTTAGATCAGGCATTGCTGAGACCCGGTCGCTTTGATGTGGAGGTCGTGGTGTCCACGCCCGACTTTACCGGTCGCAAGGAAATCCTTTCCCTGTATCTGACAAAGATTTTGCACGACGAAATCGATCTAGACATGCTGGCGCGTGGGACCTCTGGATTTACGGGAGCAGATCTGGAAAACATGATCAACCAGGCAGCGTTAAGGTGAGAGATCATTAATAAGTGTTTTAGGAAGCAATAATACTTATAATTTCCAATTTCTGCAGGGCCGCCATCGACGGTGCCGAAACAGTAAGCATGAAGCATTTGGAAACGGCACGAGACAAAGTACTTATGGGACCCGAGCGAAAGGCTCGTTTGCCGGACGAGGAAGCCAACACCATAACCGCTTACCACGAGGGCGGCCACGCGATTGTCGCCTTTTACACGAAGGAGTCGCACCCGCTGCACAAGGTGACAATCATGCCCCGCGGACCCTCACTTGGCCACACCGCCTACATACCGGAAAAGGAGCGCTACCATGTCACAAAACAGCAGCTGCTGGCCATGATGGATACGATGATGGGCGGCCGTGCTGCGGAAGAACTCGTCTTTGGAGCGGACAAGATCACGTCGGGAGCCAGTAGCGATCTCAAGCAGGCCACCTCGATTGCCACACACATGGTCAGAGATTGGGGTATGTCCGATAAGGTTGGTCTTCGCACCATTGAGGCGTCAAAGGGTTTGGGCACTGGCGACACCCTCGGACCCAACACCATCGAAGCCGTGGACGCCGAGATCAAACGCATCCTCAGTGACAGCTACGAACGGGCGAAGGCCATCCTGCGGAAACACACCAAGGAGCACAAAGCGCTGGCGGAGGCGCTTCTTAAGTACGAGACGCTGGACGCTGACGACATCAAGGCAATATTGAACGAAAGCCAGACGTAGTCCCCCTTTAATGTGGATTGAAGCATCCAGAGGGAAGACCAGGGGTGGCCTTCCATGGACATTCAGCTGAACTGCTAAATATTTTTTAGTTACAATATATACAAAAAAAAAATGGAAAAAGAGCCAAGCCAGAGCGAGACGCAGACGGACAGTTAAGAAATAAAATGTTACACATATTTAATTATGTTTTCCATCATCCTCTTTAGTATTAAACATTAGTTTGAGAAATAAATCGAATTGAAGTCACATCAACTTAAATTGCGCGCCAACAAAATATATTTTAAGTGTGGCCAGATAGTACAGCTTTCTGATATTTAATATATGTTACAATTATAAAATTCCTTAAAATTATCCCTATTATCTTTAATAATAAACTGGAAATAAAAACATTTTTGTTTAATATATCCCATTTTGTGGTACCACTTTTCTTTGAGTAATTTCTTTGTGGAATCCATTTAGTTGAAAGCCCAATGGAGCTCCTATTTGGTATTTTGCATGGTATTTTTAAGGTACGTGGTTTATTTTAACGGTGGCGGCACGGTCATACTGCCTAATTGTCGAATTCCAATTCATGTTTTATTTTTTGCCGAGTAAATTGTGATAATAATCAGAGAAAATGTGCGACTACAAGATCTCGGAGCGGGCCTACACCAAGTTGGTGTTCCACGCGGCCAAATATCCACACCAGGCGGTCAACGGACTGTTGCTGGCCGAGAAGACCTCGAAGGGTTCCCTGGTGGAAATCGTGGATGCGATTCCACTTTTTCATCAGTGCCTCCATGTCACCCCCATGGCGGAGGTGGCCCTCATGCAGGTAATTGACAATTGCCGGCCCCACAAGAACCAATAAACTCTAATCCGGTCAGCAATGTTGAGCAGAAGCACCCAGTTACTTATGATAACTACATACATACATATGCAGATAAAATATTTATGATATCGAACCTCTAAACAGCTCGCCGTTCCCTAGTTATGATATGGAAAATCAAAAACTTCTATCCATCCATAGTTAATTCTGGATTGAATTAATAACCTTATAAAATTAACATGCAGTTCCCTTTGTTTCTTCTACCAGGATCTTTAAGCTTACAGCTTAAGCTTACAGTTATAATATAAGTTGTATATTCCATGTTTTAAGTTATTATCAATGAAAGGGAGATTATTTAATCTTCATCAAAAAATGGCAAACTTTAAACATTACATTTATGTTTTCTTTTTAAATGTGCATTGATCCCCACGATGCTAAGACAATACTATGACTACAAATAAAAATGCCTGCACTTGTTCACCTATATTGTTGACAGCTTAGATAAACCCAGATTATCTCATAATTTTATTGTTGAGTCATTTGAAAGTAAAGTAAATCTATTGAGTGTGCCAGTATAGCCTGTTTTAATTAAACCAAATAATTAAAGCGATAAGAAAATAGAGTTTAAAACCAACCACTTAGAAAACCTATATGAAATAATAACCATTTCCAAAAATATAATTTTATGTGACCCATTTAATTGAACATATACCCTTTTCGAACTCTCACTTCAGATTGATGCGTACGCCGAGCGTGAAGGACTGGTGATCGGCGGCTACTACGCTGCGCCGGAGAACTTCTACGACAACCAGGTGGACAAGACTCCAGCGGCCAAAATTGCGGACAAGATCCAGGAGAACTACAAGAACGCCTGCTTCGTCGTGGTGGACAACAAGTTAATGACCCTGCAACACGACCGTGCCGCCATTCAGGTTTACAGCTGCGCCGGAGACTCCGGAACCCGGTGGTCAAAGGCCAAATTCACGCTGTCGCAGGCGTCTCAGACATTGGAGGGCGTATCGCTGCTGCTGAAGCGCGGAGCCATGCGCGACCTGGTGGACTTTGATAACCATCTGGACAACCCGGAGAACGACTGGACCAACGACTTCCTGAACCAGTCGCTCAACGATCTGCAGAAACTGTACTAGTCGCCTGTTTTTAACGTACGTTTGTTTTAGTCTAGCAAATTTGCATTCGAGGGAACACGCCGGAATTTCAACCTTGCAATTTAATTTATTGTAATTACATTTGGATTTCAGTAATCTTTAGAATAATGCATATAAGTTAAATAACATTCAACTAATTAATAAATAATCAATTCTTTCATCATGTATGAGTCGAATGTTGTCCACAGTCCGTGTCTGTCCGTTGGTGTATGTAATATCTCATGTAAGTCATGTTCCGTTCTGTTTTTGTGTTGAGTAAACCTAAGCGCGTTACAATTATCGTTAATAAATACAGATGAATAATATGTATATAATTTTGCTCTTGGTTTGTCTGGCTTGTAAATTGAAATATTGTACAATAATATTGTAATATCGCGATTGCTGATTATACATAGGTATACATAATACGTACTTATGTGGATATATCGGAGATCGAAAGTATCGCAAAAACGTTTATTCATATAATTTCAGTGTATTGTATATTTCCATATTATCTGATCGAACGCATAACGAACTCTTTACACCGTACACTAAACGTATAAGGGAACGGGATAACGGATCTCGGATCTCCAACTGGATGTCATCCTGCGCACTTTACTCATATTTGATTTGCCATCTATTTGCTTTATGCTTCTGTAGTTCTGTATATGGGGAGTATGCTCTTGTTTTGTGTATAATATCTTTTGCAGTGTTGGCTTATGTCTTTGATGGGTAGTTTTCACCCGATGTCCGCTGGAAAGGATGGGCAGGTGTGGGTGTGGTCGTGGGCGTGGGCATGGCATGGAATTCTGTACTACGTGGGGCGCCTTTTGATTATATCCTAGCTATACAAGTGCGCCTGAACACGCAAGCATAATCAGTATGTAAGAGTATGAGGCATTTCTCTGTCCACATCGTGATATTTCTGGGTTGGTGTGTCTTGTGTTCCGTCATCACATGCTATGTTAGTTGATCTATAAGAATGCAATAGAGAAGTTGAGGATCAGTGGTACGTCGAGGGGGAATGCAGAGTGGTAGAACACCCAAACGGAAAATGGATAGCAATTTTGGAAAAAGTCTCATAATGTACGATTTTACAAGGGCTTGTGTGCAACTATCTTGGTGGATGTGATGTGTCGTGGGTGCTGCGGATCGGGAGGTTTCTATGTGTGCTTGGGATCGTATCTAGAGTTGGCCTCCTCTGATATTTACCATTCCCGCGGACAGAGAGTTGATGGCATCTTCCACCGTCGGCTTGTGTCGATCGATTTTAGATGAGTTTATGGGCGAGAAGTTGTCTACGATTGCAAGCGTGAACGAATACACATATACAGATAGATATAGAAACACAAAAAGCGATTTCAAAGCAAATCTCAAGTGCCAATTACCGAGATCACCACTCGAACTGGAGTCCGTAAAACTGGGTGTGCCCTCTGTCCATGTGGGAGTGGAGCCCTCACCTGAAGCGGGCGGCGTCCAGGCCAATCCGCCGCGGGACCCGTACTGGCTGCTCGATGACGTGTCCACCGCCAGTAGTGTATCCAGATGGACTTCAGAGACGCTGAAAAATTGAATGTTTTTAAGAATTGGTAACAGTATAATAGTAAATTCAGAAGAGTAGAGCATGCATGTTCGCACAAAATCGATAGGGGTTATATTAAAAATAATGATTTTTCTAACTAAAGATATATTTAGACTGATAAATTTATAAATTATAGCCCAGTAAGAGTCTCACCTCACGATATCCTCCTTGTAGGAGCCTCGATAGGCGGGTCCGATGTTCATCTTGCGATCCAGGTAGTAGGACTGCTGGTGCTGCTGCGACTGCTGGTGATGGTGGTGATGATGATGCGACCGGCGCCCTATCGACGAGGTGCTGTTCTTGTTCGAGCTGTCCTCGGAGATGTCGTCAAAGGCGGGGGGAGGAGTCGAGCTGCATGAGGGCGTTGTGCCTAGCGATACAATGATCAGAGCAAAATATACAACGGAATGAGTGGAAGAAGTACACAATATAAGAAATCTAGATAGATATAGTTTTGGGTAATGATATTGTGTGGTTGGGTAAGCGAGGTGCAAGCGAGAAGCTACTCCCGTCCCTGTCCGCGTCCCGTCGATCCCTGAGTGCCTTCGCTCTCTGGTATCGTGGAAGGCGCCGCCTTGGGCGCCCGTCTCTTTCCCCGTCTTGCCGGCTGTGAGGGAGATTTTTCTGGCGGTTCCACGACAGGAAGTGGATCTGTGAGCTTGGGCAGGGGCCTTTTAGGGCGACGGTCCGACTCCAGCTCCCGCTTCACCTCCAGAAACGCACTGACCGACTGAAGGAGGTTATCCTCCTCCTGGTTTTCACAATCCTCGCCACCGAGCGCCAAATCCACGTAGTGAAAGTAGCGCTTCCGCCTCTGTTGCCGCTCCAGCTTAACTTGATTCGCTCGCCTGGGCGAACGCTGGCTGGGAATACTGCCCGAGGATCGGGATCGTCCGGATCGATAGCTCTCCGCTCTTATGGGTGGAAAGTTCCGAACGATAGAGCCCACCGATGAACGTTCGCTGCGCGCCACAAAGCTGTTTTGGCGCTGGAAGATGTCAACATGGTTGAGCAGTCGAGGCTGCTGGTGCCGGAAACTGCTCTCCGACCGAGCCGTGGAGTAGGCGGAGTGAAGCGAATTCCGTCGCCGCAACGAGGATCTCCTCAGTAAAGCCACTGTGGGCTCCGGTAAAGGAGCAGATGGAGTGGGTGGAGCACGTGGAGCACTGTTGGGAGCATCGAAGAGGTCGTGCAGCTCCAGCCAATCCTGGACATTGCTGGGCGACCGACGATCCCCGAATCGCGGCATGCTCTCGGTGGCTGGCACCTGGAGGGTGTGGGTGTGTGCTGGTGCCGGGTTGGGATTAGTGGTGTGCGGTTCTGTACCTGGTGTCGTCCGATCCTGGGCATCCTTGCGCCGCGGTGAGCCACGCGGTGGCACTGGCGGAGGCACGCGCGTCTTCAGATTACTGGCCGCCGGAGTCCGTTGCTTGACGGGCGGAGGTGCCCGCTCGCTGGTGCCACTGCCACTGGCTGGGCCGAGGGCAGTTGCTCCTCCTCCGGCTCCTCCTGCCGATCCCGCTGGCGTGGGCTCGGTGGTGGGCGGCTTGGCAGGCTGGTGAATCTTGCCACTACTGTGAGAGTGCGAAGCGTGAACCGCTGGGGAAATGAAATGAGTCTTGATTTAGGATATACCATTTAGGAATTTAAAAAAGTTTTTAGTTCTCTATAAAAACGTTGGAGTATTGTCTTAGGATTGGGTTATGCCAGCATCTTATGCACGTAAGACCCGCGAATTCTTTAGTTTCAAATGGCTTAGGGTTGCCACTATCACATCGGAATTAAAAATGGTACATCATAATCGCTGGTGTAGGTTTTATAGCGTCGAAACACTTCCTGCTCTTAGTTATATTTTTATTTTTACAAAGCTTAACTTACGCCTCGTGGCCACCTCGTTGTCGCTGTCGATGGAGCGCTGTATGGCCTTGGAAAGGCTTTTTCTCTTCGAAGGCGAATGCTTGAGCGCTGCAAAAATTAGCAGAACGAGTAATTAGTTTTAAGTAGCTTAAAAAAGGTACAATAGGAAATTAAGGTTCAAAAAGCATAGCACTTTGGAAGCAACTATGCGAAGCCAAGAGCAATACGGTTGCCGGGATGCCAAGGAGGCCAGGAATGTGAGGTCAACTAACGTGAGATTGAGAGACATGCTTTGGCGTCCGTTTCGAAATCATATAAAACCAAGTGGTGAATACAAAACATCGTTATTAAACTCTATAAAATACTCAGTAAAAAAGGTGTAAGTAAAACTCAAGTGAGAGATAATCAAAATTTAAAAGACATCGACCATAAGTTTGTTTACCTATATAGCTGGTTACCAAGGTACGAAATTTTCTGTGATTCCCTTTGATCTCTGGGAGATCCACTATATGCGTAAGTGTGGGGTGAATGCATTCGAGACATGGTCAAAAAGAAAGCAGAGAACAGAGCGGTTTGTTGGTGGATATTGATTCGATGTCGAGAGATCGCTTCGGATCGGCGTCTACTCAGGCCAAGTGTACCATATTGCATTTTTGCAGCACATCAATCGATTAACCAAAATTAGCAAGCTACGAGTGTCTAAATTGTGTTCGGTGTGTGAATGTTAATGGTGTGGTGTGTACGTTTGTGTTCATGGCTAAGTATCTACTCAAAAATGTCTGAAATCGGAACTCGGAACTGAGTGCTTGCATAACTCGGCCAACTGCACACAAAAATGCCTTACAGTACGAGTACTTAGCCCGACTTCCACGACCGGCCCACTTACGGGAGGGTATCTTGCGGAACACGGTCTTGGCCATGAAGTTTTGGAATCTTTGAGCATAGAACGAGGGCCGGCACACCGATACGGTTTCCTGGAAGAATTGGTAAGAGGAGATGTTAGTTGGAGATGGGACTTAGACTGATAAATAAAATATTTCAATTTTTTTTAAAAACCCTATATACTAAAATGTTTTATGAGTTATATTCTATGATTATCTCACCCCATCGTGTATGATGCTTTTGAATGTGTGCTCCAGTTTCTTTTTCAGCCTGTAGGACTGCAGAATATCGATAATACCGATATAAAGCAGCAGACGTTCGCCTTTCTCACTCCTCGCTGGAATCCCACCAGGCCTAAAATACGATTGAATGATCTTTTACGATTCCAGGATAATATAGTTGGAAAACCGTAATACTCACGGCACATCTTCCTCGTCGTCGATGGGTTCGCTCTCCGCCTGAATGCTCTCCATGGCCGTGGAATGGGCCACCAGTCGCTGGCGATTCACGGACCTGTATGCCGCACTGGTTTAGCACTTTAGATTGATCCATAATTAAACAAAAGCCCAGATACTCACTTATTCCTACTGATGCCCGTGGCCGCATCCCGATCCTTGCCATCGCCATCAAGGGCGTCCAGGGGATCGTCCACATCCACGTCGGAGTCCTCGGCCAGTGGAGCCCTCTGGGGTTTCCTTAGCTCACTCTGCTTTTCTTTTATAGCCACGTCCAGATTGTGAACACCGAGGAGCAGGGAGTAGTCCATGATTTTAAAGGACTCTAGTACTGTACAGTCGCGCTGAATGGTCTTGATCAGTGCGGAGTAGGTCTCGGCCTCCAGGAATATGCCATTGGGATGCTGCTCCATGAAGTCGAGGTCCTTATACGTGGGTGACTTCTTGGCACGCTCTGCCTTGTTGGCCTTGCGCTTAAAGGTCGAACCCTTCAGATCGTACTTCAAGTGCATCCTTACGGACGAGGGCAGCAGGTTGTTCATGACCACCAGGCGAATATTTTTGGCATTGCTCGTCTGCAGGCAGTACAATCCGAAGAACTTTGGCAATAGCGTGCGCGGATTTTGATTTAGATTCATATAGTAACTGGAAAAATGATTATAGATTATAGTTTAAAGAGTTTTACAATGATCGATTGCTAGGCCAACCCACCCAGGCAGTAGTTTCTGTAAGAATTCGCCCTCTTTGTGTTGCACCGTCTTGATGATGAACTCGTCGTCGGTTGTCAGGTAGAATATAGAGCCGGAAGCACCAGGATTGGACAGTTCCCGCAGCGGGGACGTGCACATGGACATCTGCAAGGGTTAGCCATTAGTATCTTCGGTTTTACCACTATATCATCACCCACTTACCATAAAATCATCTGGCTGGATGCCAAACAAGTCCCGAAAGTATCGGAAAGCAATGGGCGCGTAGATCTTGTATCTAAACTCGCTGTAGTGGTGGGCAGGTGTAAGGCTAGAACCCTCTGGCGGAAAGGTGATGCTCTCGATTTCCCAGAAGTCCATCATAAGTAGATCACGCTTGGGCTTCGAGGCTAGACTGCCGACCTGTGGGGGATTTTTAAAAATAGTTAGAGAATTTATTTTGGTTTTGAAAATATCATATTTTCAGTCATATATATAGCTTTGGATAAAAACCCCTTCCTCTTATAGCGTTATTCTTTTACTGATACTTCATCTACGGATTAAAAACCTTTATATATAAGAACATTCTCAAAATCATGTCATCGTATTTTACATAACCTATCTGATAAGATATTAGAAAAATATACATTTTAATCAGAAAACCAGCAAGATAGTCCTATATCAAATAAAATATTTTCATTGTTAAATTGTGGCCTAAAAATGTAGTGCTATCCATCGGACTTTAAGATTCAATGTACACCGCAGACCTATTTAATGGCGATTTTGTAGGTCTTGACTCTGGAGACCACTGTGGCACGGCACACCCAAATATGTAAATTTTATTACCAAAACCCAGTTTACCCTTGCCCCATCTTACAGTGTGCTGGATTCCCAGTTGGATGGAGCCCATGATCTGCGACGTCTGGATCTTCTTGTACGTAATCTCGCCGCCCTCGCCGACGCGTCTGTGGCCAATCTTGCGCTCCTTGTCCGCCTTGCTGGCCCCGCGATTCGGTCGGTTGCCCAGCTGGTGGATGATTGGAGGGAAAGTAATTGACCCCATTAGTTCGGATTGGTATTGGACTGACCTCGAGGCCAAGGCGGATGTACTTACGTCGGGCGATGAGTTTCCCACATGGTCGTTGGAGGCTAGGGGAAGACGGACAGAGAGAGAGTTTATTAATAGGAGTCATGTTTAATTCAGGCCATGGTGACGCAGTCGCCTGGTCAATCACCGCAACTTGAACTTGGCCAGGCTACTTTCGGCCAACTTTCTTTTGTTATCAATCCAAAAATATAAATACGAAGCGATGGAAGTCCGTTCGACAAGTGCGGGGGTGGATTCACGAATCACATTCACGCTTTTTCCTTCACGCGAGACACATGCGCCAGGGGCACTTCCATTCGCCAGTCATTGATTTTTTTTTCGACGCTGGGGAAAATGAGGTGACGAACTGTGGATAATATGTAGTTACCATTACTGGGCTCAGCCAGCTTGGCCTGCGACGCCGAGGAGCTGTCCATGTCGATGGTGTTGATGGTGTCGCCATCGCCGGAGGCCATCGTGCTCCGACGTGCTCCGGGTGTCCTGTTCTTCCCTCTTCCCACTTCCGTCCTCCGTCGAGGGCTTCACTAGGACATGCTTTCGGGCTGGGTTTTGTTTTTACTATTCCAGGGCTGATTTCACGTTTTCCGATCTTTGGGGATTATCCAATCAATTGGGTTGACTGGGGAGCAGGAACCTTGGCTCTCGTCTGGCGCTGGCGTCAACGTTTTCGCTGTCTACGGTGATGGTGATGTTGATGGCTCCGCTGCCACTGCTGTCATTTTCACTGCATACTCATAGGCACACTGGAAGGCCTGGAAGGTCGGCCGTGCTGGAAGGGTGTGCGCAGGAGCGCGCACAGGGTTGCATTCGCAGATATTCTGAAATGCGGAGCATCCGCAATTTATTTAGATCCGCAAGAAATTAAAAACGATTGTGTTTTTTAACAATTATAATTGTTATTATATTGTCGAAAATATATAATCCTTTAAAATAATAAGTAACAAATTAATATTTTACTCCTATTGGGTTGTAATTATACAAAGCTACTAACAGATCATTTCTGATCCGCAGTTTCTCAACATGAGATGCCTATAATATTACTGATGCTTAGTAAAGAAAACATCTCTAATGGACAGCTGGCCAGTATTAATAACTAAAATTCGAAAAAAAAAAATAATTTGACTTCTTTTGGGATCACCCTGAACGATCCATATAAGATATTTTACCCCACTTCTACAAATTTGTATACAAATATAATCGACTTTTCGTTCTGGACTGTATCAGTTATGTTGAGCATATTTTAGTTCATATAAAACCATAAAATTCCATCCACTAAAAAATGTTGTGTTTATAAGTCCTACGTTGATTTATTTATTATATGTCTTGAATGCAAGCTCGATATCGTAATTTTACAATAAAAATACAATTTTAAATTTAAAATTTATTAGCAAAGAAAAACAACGACGAAGGCGGTTGGTTTAATGCACTTTTAATGTTTCATTCCATTTTTTATTAGTGTTTTTGTATTCAATTAGACCTATACATCATATATAACTATCATATATATATATTTTATTTATGTGGTAAATATATGAATACAAGAATTTCTTGTTATGTTTTACTGTTGTTTTTTTTTGTTTTCATGGGTTTGTTTGCTTGCGCATTGTGGTGTTTGTTTCTGGTTTGAGTTTCATTCTCCTTACAATTACATGCATGTACAAAATAAGCGCTTTTTTTTAAAAATACCGCAAAAAATTACGTTTATCCGTTAAAAGTCTATTAAAAATTAGAGAGTATCAAAGTTTCTAGACCAAACATAAAAACAAATGTAGCCTACATCAAAGGACACTACCAAACTAACTGCTTAGAGCTAAGGATGCGATGGACATGACTACGGCGACCGTTGTCCATTTGCGTTGTATAGTTGAGGCCTTATCTGTAAGGAGAAAAAAAAGTATTTTAAATTCAGTAAATTTGCGGTGGAGTTTATACTTTATACGATAACCCACTCATAAGACATTTAACATTTTGTAATCTATATGATGTAGACTACAACCAAACATTTTTTTTGTGCCCTTCCTTTTTTAAACTATCAAAATAACGATCAACAAGAAAATCTACGAAATCAATAAGTTAACAAGGTTATAAATGGAAAAATGATTATTTTGTACTATACTCTAACTGGATTACGTGTTGTATGAGTAATTTTTTAGAAAACTTTAAGACCATTGCGCACACCAAATCTTTAAATAATTTTTTTTAGTTTTCGAATACATTTGTTGAACCCCAAAATCTAACGTATTTAATGGTGAGACTAAGAGTCTATTATTTGGACCACCCTAAATTAATCAATTAGCAAATTCAAAAGTAATCGGTTATACATTATTACTTAAGTGATTTAAAAAGGAATTTTAGTTTGATAAAATGTTAACATTGCCGGTAAAACCTCGTTATGTAATATAATTCCAATAAAACCCGAAACCTAACTTCAAGTAGACAACAAACTATATCACTAAGAAGAAAGCTAGTCTTATAATTTGATATCTTAATTTGTATTTCCCATTATCAGTATTTGATTTGTAGCCTCTGCTTACCTGTACTTACCATAAAAAATAGTCTCCCGGCGCTTGGTATAGTTGGTGCCAACCAGGACGAACGCACAGGTGATCGGGGTGGGGGACTCGAGTTGATCTCTAGGAATGCGGGTGCGTACGGTCATGCTGTAGAGGCCACTGGGGTCCTGGTCCAACTGCGTCAGTACCGAGTCCAGTATGTGGGTGTCAAACCTGCAAGGGGAGCGATTAAATCCAGGTGCTATTCAATTTCGCAGGCCACAAAAGGTGGGCTCATCTTACATGACCGACAGCATGGGTTGCGGAAATACGTGCTGGACCGCACACATAATGTCCACGTCCATACGCGATCCGCTCATCCGCGCTTCCAGCATGAAATCCGACTCAGGAACTGTCCGGAGTGGGCAATGGGTAGTGGGCAGTGGGCAGTGGGCAGTGGGTGTGTAGAGTGTGGTAGAGCCGCCAGACAGGAGCCAAAAAAAAACGAAAAGTCGTGAGAATTAATCAAGTGTCAAACTAAACAACGAACACAAAAAACAAGAAGAAACAAAGCAGTGTCCCAAAGAAAAGCACAAAACAGCACAAACAAGCCATGGTTCCGGACACCGCAGAGACTGCCACCTGACACGCATGCAAATATGAAAGCGAATCACACGTGCCACACAGACGGGGCCCATCACCTGCACCGGAAGAAAAGAGTAGACCCCAGACCCACAGGGACTGAACTTAATTGAGCGTTCATAAACCTAAAAGAACTAAACTTGATACTGGAACAGCTAAACCAAGTTAAACTGGGAACAAAAAGATTGTCACTAAAAATAAAAGTTAGGTTCTTAAGTTAGGAACTCTCTAAACAGTATCACTTTCAAACGAGTATTTTTAGTTTTAACATTAAAAAAATGTTCTCTACTTCCCTCACTTAAACAACATAAAAAAGGGAACTTGCCATTTATATCCTCAAAAATACACATTGCTGACTCAGGAAGACAAAGATAAAACCCTATTGGGTTAGATAATCTTAATTACAGTTTGTAAAGAAAAAGAGTGGGGTATACAATATAAGTAAGTATAAGTCCTAAAACTAAAAAAGGCCCACGGCTGAGCTCACAAAAGGCTAATGGCAAGGAGGAATAAAGAAGAGCGTATTAAGGTAAGGCTTTCTTGACTTTCATAAATGGCTTGAAAGTACATAAATCATAATTTTGTCTTCCCGTGTAAACAACATCACAAACACCTATGCAAACACAAGGGACCAAGTCAAGATGGGGGAGGGCAAGTGGGCCGGTAACCCGGCAGAACCACCACCTAAGACCTTTAGACCCCCCATACCGTAACCACCCCCACCACACATCTTTCAACGCCGATCCTTTTTCTTTTCGCTGTGGTCGTGACACCCACCGATTATTTGCAAGCGGGCACTCCGCTTATCCGTGGACTCAAAGGTCTGCACCGCACAGGTATACTCCCCCGTCATGTTCCAGTCGGGATTCTTTATCGATATAACACCGGGACTGCCCTCCATAGTGAACATTTTGTTGTCTATCTTCGACTTCATGAAGCCCTACATAATCGCAAGAAAAGAAGTAAGACAAAGACAAGACGGTGTTCGATTAATCGTAATTAATTTTGGTGAGACGGTGACCCCATATATGACTCACCATGGCGAACCCCTTGACCGAGGGTATCCATTGGTAGATGGAGTGGTTGTTGAACAGCCACTTCAGGACGAATCCCTGCTCCCGCGGCCCGATCTCCACCTCGCAGTCGAGGACCAGTGGATCGGGTTCGTGGTTCCGTAGCAGCGTGTAGGTTCGTGGCACCCGCAAATTGGTGATGCGCACCGAACGGGTGACTGGGGATTACCAAGGGGGATTACTTAAGGGGGTTTACCCAGGGGATTTAATGATAGATGGGCTCACCCGAGAGTAACGTGAGCACGGCCAGCAGCGTAGCACACAGCCCACGGCCCCGCCAGCCCGCCATGAGGCTGTCTACTTTGCGACCTGGTCCACGTCCGTTCCTGTCGCTGGACACACCAGCTCCTGATCCCTCCGTGCGCTGGGGATGCTTCAACCGTCTCCGTCGTTGTCGTTGTGTGTTTGGCAGTTAAAACTTGTTAGGAGGTTGGACGTAAATACCTATCGTTGTCCTATTTTGCAGACATTTAATTGGATACTTTGGTTGCACTCATTATCACCAATCTAATCACAGCAGCAGCAGGAGCTTGAGCAGGGGGTTGGGATGCTCTTTCCTGGGGATACGGGCACTGACTGGTAAAAACTTTTCTCGCCTCGCTGAGCTCAGCACCTCTTCCGCAGCATCAACAGCAGCAGCTCCTTGCAGGACATCTCGGTAGGGGTCGGCAAGTTGCAACTATTGCAATCTCCCTTTATGGCCCGGGCCATTTAAAGTTTTGCCCACATAGACCACTTTTTGTTGGCGAAAAATCGACTTTTTGCCGTCCACATAGGTATATATTCGTGTGTTTGCGGTAGTGTGCGTGCGAATGGAGTCCGCGGGGGCGAACTGTGCCAAAAAAGGAGTTCGTACACTCGGCGTACCGCGTGAGTTCTGCTGCCGACTACGGATACCAATAGTTAGTGTTGGTATCTTCCATGGCACACTGTTGTCGTTGTTGTCCCGCTTCCAGGCGCAGCTTTTAATGTTTTAACACTGGAAGACCGCGACCACGGAGAGTCGAGCTTTCGTTTGGTAGAGCTGCGCTTGATATGGCGTCCTATGGCCAAACAACTTCGTCCTGCGCCAAAATCAGCTGAGCGAAAACCAGTGCGCAGGCGCTAAGGCCGACGTGATTTCCAGGCAGGGGTGCCATATCTCAGGCACCTTTACAGGGCGGTAAATTCAAACAGCTTCAAGCATTCTTACTCAACACAAAAGAAAAACAAAATTTGTATTTTAAAATAACAAAACAATGTAAAATACAACACAGTAAAGTTATAAATTAAGATTTAAAACTGTACAAACTTACATTCTTCACTTTCAATCTAACATGAGAACGAAAAAAGAGCCCAAAGCATTTCCACTATTGGTTTTTCTTATAAAAGTTAAACATAAAATTATACTGCCCTTATTAGTTCAAATTAAAAATGAAGAAATACACTTTCTAAAACAAAATTCGTTTTAATCTTTAACATAACTTAAATTTAACTTAACTTAAGTACTTACCATTTAAACTTGCATGTCTCATTAGGA